ATGAAAAATAGAAGCAAATCTCAACCTAATATTTTCTTGAGTTGGTGATGAAAAGATTTTATTAAGAGATTTGATTCTTTCCAAATCTTTCACCAAGCTAGCTGTTTGTCTTAAGCCATCACAAAGCTGCTTCAAAGTGGGTACAAGAGTAATAGAAGGTACAATGTGAGGATGATTGATGCAAGGATGGGTATGGGGTTGTGCAGTGTTGTGTTTTTGGAGGGCCAGAGTCAGCTAACAAAATCACTAGGCTGGGTTAACTTTGACTGAGCCTAGCCATATTTTGCTGCAAAGCTACCTAAAGACTTTCCTTAAACTTTCACCATTGTGGGGATTTTGAAATCTTCAGGTTAAATACTTTAGCTATCCCCACCACTTAACCCAACAATTGCGGATGCTCTGAACACAATTGTTTTTGTCACATATTGGTCACACCCTCCTTGCTTACTTCTATTGTTCTTATCTAAACCTCTGATAATCAATTTCCTTACTCCACAAGACATACATCTGTATGTTGTATGCTACTGTATTGGACATGAATATATTGCTACATCTAGACCAACAAGCTTGTTTAATTGCAAAACAGTGGCATGTAGACATCTGCGCTGTATTTCCAGAAAAATATCAGCATATTTTGCATATTTTTCAAGTCAATCAGCATGAAAGTATAGGGGTTGTGTTCTTGGGGGGAAATACGCATATTATGTCTATTTTGAAAGTATGCATCACACATTACATGGAACAGAGATCTGTTGACCATCAATATTCTCACATCAAGAGTTGACTGTAAGATTAATATTCTCAAATCCCCCCAAAAGCATTGAAAGCTGCCATCACAACAGTGTTCCATCAGTTTTGGAGGGTGGCAGTGATCTCTACACTCCCAACCTGGGACTCACTTAGGTGCAGCTCTGGGTGGCTTCCAACAATGGGGCCTAGATCAATTCCTTCCACACTTATTTTTTATTTAATCTCATCTCAAATTTGCCTTGGAAAGAATTTCAGAGTGCACTACCCCATGTCCTTATACATATTTATCTTTGTCCCAAAAAGGAGCCTTGTATTAAACAATTCATCAAAACATGTGTTCCTACTTGGTCCTGCAAAACAGGTCATCTGCCCTGCACCATTCCTACTATTCTCTATGGATTTGCTTATGATGCAGTTAGAAAAGCATCAATTTTTCACCTACTTTTTGATTTTGAGATGTAACATGATGTTTTGGCAGATAGCCTCCACTGATAATGTTTTAATTTTTTTGTCATGAACACTTTCTCATCTTGTATTGATTCCCAAAACACACTCCCTTATTCACTGTAGCCTACTCTTGAGACTTACTCTGTGAATCAAACTTATAAAACAGAGCACAAAGTACTTGCAAAAATTACCTTCCCAACTTATGCTTTTCAGTCATCAATTGTAATGTCATTTTGCCTTTTGAAAAGATGCAACAACTGCAATTCTTCTACTCCTCATAAGATGTATATCAATATTTAATTAAAACATAAACCTGATATGAAGTAAGTACCAAAAATCATCAATTGTCTTGTTGCAACCCAATTCTACATCAAGATGCATTGTCACAACAGTCAATTGCAATGATTAGAATTGAAACCTTCAGTAAGTGGCCAGGAACAATTTTTTTGGCAGGCAGGCCCATCTATTATTCTCTAGTATGCTTTTCAATGGTGTCCCATTCACAAAAGTTGTATTTGAGATATCCAGGAGATAGTTGACTTAATGTGTAAAATTCAGGAATACCATTATTTGACTTGGAAACCAAATCAAAGCAAAAGCTTGTGGTTTGTTTGAATGCAAGGAGGTATTTCATGGATTGAAAGAGAAAAACATCTGAAGATATTCTGGTTCTGGTTATGGTTTATTGCTTTAGGCACAATTGTGAGATAAGCTCAAAATCAAGCCCCACCAAAGTTGGTGTGGGTTGACCTCCATGGTTTTATATGGCTTTTGGCTTTGCACAGGCATTTTTATACAATACAGTTTTGAATCTACCCCAATATCACATAAAAGACTGCCATTTAAAACTTTCAATCTGAGCACCAAGATTACTTGCCCAGAAAGCAAACTTAAGTACTGGAATCTATAATTGGGGTTCTCAGTCTGAAATGAAGTTTACATGGTTTTCCAAAACTAGGTACTAACGGGGATTTTTACTTTTGCTAATTAGTAACAAGATGTTTACCATAGAGACTGTAGAATTATTGGCCAACCAGAGTTGCTCAGAAGAAGAAGTGTACAAAGTCATAATGCAGTGTGGTATCATTTCATGCTGCTATTGTGTTGTATATGCTATGGACTCCAATTTCTTATGAGGAAAGGGAGCTTGTGCAATGATTCTCCCTCTTGTACAGTTCAGAAACTTCATTCCCAAGGTCTGGGATGCCAAATGGTTCATGAGTAACATCCACTTAGGGCATCCTCAATCTCAACATGGCAGCAATTAGCTGTTACACCACCCCAAGAGATGTACCTCTGTTAACACTTGACTTATCAGAATCCAGCAATGTGTATGGTTGCCATAAGAATTAGATTGCAATGTGAAGAGAAAATAGGAAGGATAGTCTTCTCCCCTTGAGCCACTATCTAAATATAGACTACAGTGCAAGCATACATATTTGCTCCAAGGCTCATCACAATTTCACCTTCAGAAAATGATTGGCTAGATCTTCACCCCGAGGTCACAATTGTCACGTGTGAATACTGGTCTCAATTAGAAGATTCATGAACGTGCCTTTCAATCATCTCAGACTAGTTTTCTTCGTGAGGCAAGGTCTACAAAATGCAATATGGCCAGACTTGCTGAAAAAACATTTCAAGTACGGGATATATACACACATCAACATGACTCCTGGGGTCTCTCCACCCGAATTTGATGGGCGAACCCATCCGGGAAACAAACGTAGGATTCTTATCTCATGAAATCCATCCCCAAACCACTTGTATCCTTGTCAAATGTTGGTTTTTTTGTCTTCCCAGTTTTCCAAGAGTCCTCTGTCACTCCAGGAAGAGTCACTGATACATGTATACTGTGACAGGCTCCTGCAGCACTGTGCATTGTAGATGGCGAAGATTCGTGCTATCAAGAGGTACGGTGTGCAGCAACTGTGCTGCTTCGGTGGCTAGAAGCAAGCTGACAAAGTTTCTGCATGTGGTTCGGTTGAGATTTTTCTTTGGATGCGTGCCCTCGATGCTGTGAGCATTACGCTCGATACTGTCGTTCATCTGATCAAAAGAAACCTTGAAGTGGATGAACTTATGCCATGTAAGGTCAATCACAGCCGTGGGAGACAGGAATGGTGATCATCTTCAATTGGGGAATTGTTTCAGATTAGATCTGATAAAAAAAACATGGCAGGCCTTGTTTGATTTTGTGTGGACGAAAGTTCAAGTTTGATCGCTACGGAGAGAAAATTTTAACCGACAACCGAAGATAGTCGATAGAATTCCATTATCATATCCTCTTTGCGTTTGAAATCAAGCTGAGCGATTTCTTCTTTCAACCCACCTCATCCGAAAACATTTTTGTTCTATCCTCTTTCTGTCATTCGCACATCGTCAGTATCTCCACCAAATTCATCATCAAATCTGACACACAAAGTCGATCAGCATGTCATCACGGCTGTCAGCGATCCTCCTTTTTCTCACATTGCCTATCTCGATCATCTCTCGGGTTGACCTAGGCGGTGGACACATGGGACTTGCGCAAACCGATACGTGTCCAAAGTTACCTTCCAGTTATAGCTGTACCGAACTCGATGATGACTGGCCAGATCAAGGCCTTAGCTGTCCTGAAGCACATCATGATATTCCTCGTCACACACTCGCTATCATGTCAGCTACGATGATACAATTGGGAAAATACAAACCGGTCCAAAAGTCAGAGTTTCCAGTGGACGAATGTTACACATCGGCTCCTAATAGTACTACCACCGCTTTTGGCTTCATCAGTCAGGGTACATTTGACATGTGTTCGTACCAGATTGTTTACTATTCGCACCGTCCCCTTGTCTCCAACACAGAGACTCTCCATCTGGCAAAACAGATCTTTCACATATACTGAATTGACTTTTTGCGATCCTTCAAAACAATTTGTCAAACCATCAACAGGGTTCTTTGCTCATGATAAATGTGATTGCTGAACTTGGCAAAGTACCCCAATGTAACGATCGAGCAACCGAAGCTCAAAAGTGTAATTTACGAACGTATGTGACATTCAAATGTTAAGTTATCTGCCTTCCCCACTCACTCGTCAAAACCGATTCTTTGTCCGTAGCTTCACTCTCTGCTAAAGTTACCAAGAAAGGCTTCACTTGCAAACCCAAGTCAGTCTTCCATCCAATATACACTTTTGTTGAGATCGATTCTTTCTAATCTTCCACATCTTTTTGATACAGGCACCATGAAGGTTGGAAACCACTACCAGTCATTGAAGATAAAATTCAAAAACCAAAAGAACCTACCGAGAGCAAATCCAATCCTGAAGCTGCATCCGGACAACAACAGCAGCAGCAGCAGCAGCAGCAATCCTTCAATATCCACGACCGGAAATCTTTCTCTTTTATGTCCGGATGGTGGAAGCTCTTGGAACTTCTTGGGGATCTTTGGTGTTATCTAAACTCGAATGACTGTTTTTGAATCTAATTGCTCATGTTATTTATACGTAACCTGTACTTTCTCCTTTATTTCATGCATGTAGCCTTGTTTTTTCTTGAAGTTGCAAAATATTGATTTGTGGTGTTCCGTTTGAGAACCCTTGGCAATATATGATATACTCTTGAGTTTTTAGAGGATTATAAGTGTGCCATTCCTCTAGATATGGGTCTTCTTGTGAGACTGTCTATCTTCCAAGCTCCCATACAGTCTGAAGGTTGTCTGAAGGGAGCTCAATTGCTGCCCACATTGCTTTGTCTCGGTGCACATGGTAGATATTGCTCAGTGGATAATGTATCAGTACGGGAGTGCGCTGTCCAGCTCAGTAAGGCCCTTTGGCCAAGTGGTAAGGTGTTCTCCTCCGGCCCCGCGAGGGAGCGCAAGAGAAAGATCGCTGGTTCAATCCCAGCATGGGTCGGCTTTTTACCACCTGCCCCAGCATGACCTCAGCTTGAAACGTGAGAAGTAACACAGCCTCCGCGTTTAAAGTCGTTAACACATGGTTTTTGTATCTCAACAATCTATGAGTCTCGCATAACTTGAGGACAAGGGAATGGAATGTTCAACAGAGGTATATTTTCAATGTTCTACTCGGCAAGATCAAGCTTTATCTCTACACGTGTTTATAAATATATTTGGGTTGGTTTGGCGTGTCTCTTTTGTACAGACGAACAAGAATAGACAGTATGGATGGATGATTAAAATATTCCAGAGCATTAAAGGAAGAGGTGCGATCAGTGACGGAAAACTCTTGTGTAGGGGAAGGAGCAAATACTGGACTAAATGAAAAACAATTTTGTTGAGGCATTTCTTGAGGTCTTCTCAGACTCAATCAGGTGTCCACCTGCCTTTTCCAAAGCCTCAGCACACGCATGATGACGTTTCTGCAAAGCATAATATAGTGGAGTGTGTCCGAAATCATCTCGAAGATGAACAGAGGCACCATGATCCAAGAGGATCTCTAGATTGTGAAGTCGGCCGTGAAAAGCGGCTATGTGAAGAGGAGTTTGACCTAGGCCGGTCGAAGCGCGCTTGTTGAGTGCTCCTGCTCTTGCCCCCGCTGAGATTAGTCGAGCTAACGAGTCATCCGCACGACCTGCAGCGGTTACAAGTGCGTACGGGAGTAGGTAATTCTCAGGCCTGTTCAAGTTCTTGTCCGCTGATCTGAGATCGAATGAGCTCCAATCCAACGTCAGACCCATTCACAGTTCCTTGAGATATGTGGTCTACGGTCGGCTCAGCCTTTGGGTTATAATCAGGTAAGGCGTCTGAATCCACCGGTTCAATCAACATGCGGGGAAGGGTAGGAGTGCGATCAGTCGGTATCGGAGGCGAAGACATTTCTTCCTTGCCGTTTACTGAGACTTGGACCTGCGCACGATGATCATGACTAGTGTCTGCCAAGTGACTGATTAACCACCTGAGTCTATCATGTGAGGGCTCAAATTGAACGCGTGCAGGTAGTGTAAGCTCTCCACGCAGTGGTTGACCGATCAGTTCTCGTACCATCTTGACTGAGAGACCCGGCTTTGAAAGAAGGTATCCCAGCTTTGCTAATGCACACTACGATGCAGGCACGCCTCGAATCAAATCCAAGCGACGCGAACCAAGGTCTGCTTTCAGTCTAAGGTTGCTATCTGAAAATGAAATTGATGATATGGTCTTTACCTCGGTCGTCATATCTCTCCCGCCGACAATGCCATTTGCAGCAAGAGCCCTTCCTGTCTCGTAGATATCGCTCGAAACTGTGCCCTTGGTACATTGAGTCACATTCACGATCACCACGCCACGATCCGAAGCCTCCTTGAATGCTTGGAGCAGTTGAGGCTTTTTAGGTGCATTTCCTGCTCCAAAGGTCTCCAAGACAATACCCTGGAGAGGTGGCTGGAGAAAAGCTCGGACTGATGCCGGACTGATACTTGGAAATATTCTCAGGACAGCTGGTCAAAATAAAAAAGAGGGTTTCAAGTGAATCAACAGATTGAAGTGATTTGTGAGGTCAACTCAATCAGTCGCTGAACTCATTTACCAACGTTTGCACACATCGCATTATGAACCCTGAAGGCTTGTCGATCGGTCGGCTTAGTGATCAAATCCCAGCGAACGTCCACATTACAACCCACTTTGACCAGTGGTTCAAGATTGAAACTCTTGAACGCATCAAACTCGACGCTGCTGAATTTCACCGTCCGATTGCCACGCCATAGCTGATGATTGAAATACAATGAAACCTCTGGAATAAGGTAGCTTCCGCCTATCTGTAGTGCTCCTAGTAGGTTATCTACCGCATCGTTGCGAGGATTGGAAAGCGGTATTTGAGCACCTGTCAGAATCACACTCTTGCCGAGATTCTCGAATAAGAAAGAGATCGCTGAAGCTGTGTAGGACATGGTGTCGGTTCCATGTAGAATTACAAACGCGTCAAAAGCATGATAGTTTGATTGTATTGAGTGACATATTTGTAAGTAGTCCGAAATCTCGATTTCTGATGAATCTATCAACCTCTCGTATTCCAAGATTGCGTATCTGTGGGTTCAACAAATGTATTGTCAGAAGATTAGATGAGAGCGATTTGTTTGCGATTTATCTAATTCGCCAGCTGGGATGTATAGAGAATGGACGAGGCCTGACCTGATCTTGGGACATTCTGGGCTTTCAGGCATCACGAGGCTTTCTAGCCATCTGGGACCTGCATCAGTGATGACCTTGAGTTTGTTCGAGTGACTTGCAGATTCGGTCTCGGTATTCAGATCTTCGCCATCCTCAGACTGGGGACTGGAACCACATTTATATCTTGACCTACTTCCAGAACGGCTTTCTGGAGGTGTGACAGTAGGTGAGTTCAATTGCCAATTGCGAAAAGCATCAACCGATCGACTATTAGCCCCCAGTGAGCTGGATCGTGGATCGTGGAAGCGAGGCTGAGATCGCAAACTACGATTCAATTTGTGATTAGTTTTGTTCATAAGGATGTAAAAGTGACGCTACTCACTGCTCCGTCAAGTACCCAGGCAGCGGACTATAACCCTGCGAGCCGGAAAGCATGCCGATGGTACCTATAATCAAGGTTTTTCCAACATTTTCAGTGCACTCTAGTCGCCCAGTCTTAGCCAAACTTGATACTTACCGCCGGTATAGATCACCAAGACCCTGGATTCGTTGTGGTCTAGGCGTAGGAAGTTCATTGGAGTGTGATGAGTAAAATTTCAATATCTGTGCGGTTTACTAGGAAGCTAGCCACGAGGAAAGATTGTGTACAAAACGGTAAACGTTAATTCTTGAGGATAAATAAACTTAGCGACAGGTTGTCCTCGCTGTCTCCGGCAACGTGGGACTTTGTCAAGTTCAAAGGATCATGCTTGGCGTGAGAAGCAATCCAGACTCACGGGTGCATGGGGATCCCTAGACGACGACAGTGACGAGGATTCACGCCCTCCGATTTCGAAAGGTTTTGAGCAATATTAAAAAGGACATACCTCGGAGTTGAGTATGTGACTTCATTTTCATTCTGAGTCCGTGCATGAAGATCTTCCACTTGAGCTAAAAATTCGAAAGAAATGTTCAACTCTCTTGATCTCAGCTAAGGATTCCTCTTTCAGAGGTAGCTAGTTTGCAAGTCTTCTGCTATATGTCTAGTTGGGTTCGATGAAGGGGATACAATCATCAAAGTGGGATTAAGAAGGGAAACAACTCGGAATATAGCTGTTAAGGATTCATTAAGAAGTGCGATGCATTGGCGGACGGTTGAACGTTTGATAGATGAAAAAGTGCATACATAGATTGTCGCTATAAATAGCCATGCGAAGTCCTTTCTCAATGGGAGCAAAATTTTCGGATTCAGTCACGTGACTTCTCTCATCCCATCCTTCCACAATCGTGGCGCTAAGTCGCGGGATTAGTTAAATATTTAACCTAAAGATTTTGAAAGAACCACAATGACAAATCTTTGAGAGCATCCGCACTCGTTTGCGGTATGTTTCGGTATCTTTTGTGGTACCCACCTGTACTGGTAAGGTAAAAGTTATCGGGACGAGAAGCAGATGAAACGCACACTAGTAAGCTTAATGTTTAATTAAAGATCTACCGAAAAAACAATGATGTTGATTACAATAATAATATAATACAAGTTTCAGGAAAAGAAGATAAACTATTTATATGAAACATTATATACGTGGCGCTACAACAATGACAAATGATAGGACCCTGGAAAGCTCCTACTGACCCGTCTGACCAAAAAAGTCAGGTTTTGGGCCATTTGGTCTCAGATTTATCTGACAAAAAAGTCAGGTTTTGCTCTTTGGAAGGTTTTCCACAAAAATGTATCTGACCAAATGAATTTCTTGCAAAAAGTGACGCAAATTGGCAGTTCGCCCGGAAAAGAATATTCCAGTCATGATTGGTGGCTCGTTGGTGGCAGGGACAGGAGCTGGAGGTGGAACAGCGTAAGTTACCTGACGGACTGGATGGGGAGGAGGAGGATGAGGTGGTGCTGCCTGGTGCTGTGGAGTCTGATGCTGAACCAGGGCCGGTTGCGGAAAAAGCGGTTGTTGCGCTTGAGGGTCCCTTGGTAAAAACAAGCTGGCTGCGGGGGAGGATAAGAAGGCTGAACCACAGGAGGGGGAGTATACCTTGCATGCTGAGGTTGTTGAAGCATACAAGGTGGATGTAAATGAGAAAAAGGTGCCACATAACGCTGCTGCATCCCAGCTGGCATAGGAAATCCAAAATTAGGTGTTGGCCTGTTGTACAAACTGGCCCCCATACGAGCACGATACGGATCATGAGCAGGAAGATGTGCTGGGTGAGTAGGCGAAACAACTGAAAGCAAATTGAGCCTGTTGGTAATCTCGTCAATCTGCAACGAAACAACTAAATTACGCAGTCAGCCGTTCAAAAGTGCTCTCAAAACGTTCCTCCATACTGTTGCATGCAATCATTTAAATCTTGCTGGGTTACCACACTGGAAGCCGTACCCGCGTCCAAAACAACCGAAGTAGTGGAGAATGAAGCTTGAGGTTCTTGCAAATGTCCTGCGGGTGAATGACAAGGAGTCGCATTGCTCATCACATTTCCCACGGGCAAAATGTGTGATGGTGCAGAATTGTAGGGAGGAGCATCTGATTCCCTTGGAAGGTGAGTTGTCATTGGTGTCATGGCCGCTCATTTTGATCCAATGGAGGTAAATAATTGCAACTATCAAACAAAAAGCTCCTAGCTCAACACAACCCCGAGGCAAAAAAATTCTTATTTTTGGTTTTCAAAGTTTTATATAAATTAAATTGAATTTAAAATCAGTCAAAAAAATCAAAATATATATATGTAAAGAGTTAATAGATTTATGTAAGGTGACAGAATTCAGATTCTACGTAGTCTGATGTGTAAAGGGTTAGGAGTCGAGTCAAAAGGGTATAAAAAGGA